TGGGCTCTGAGAGGCCATGAGAGCCTTGCCCTCAGAGGGGACTCTGCAAAGTCACCATTAACATGGTGGCCAACATGATCGGAAACTATTAAGAAGCCAGGAGCCGTCCTCAAGCCTGCCACCCCAATGTCACATGCTCCAGACCTTTGCTTCTAAGAGAAAAAGGCATTTCCTGGTTTTCGTTCTCATCTAGAGAAAGTGAGAGTGGAAGAGGTCAGGCTGCTGCGGTCCCACCCTGCCACCTAGTGACCAGGCTGGCGCTGCAGGCTCTCCAGCGGGTACTGCACTCACTGCTTGTGGACCTGCAGGCCTGGGCACCACTGCGGATCCACGGGGTCGGGTAATCACCATCCGGCTCCCCAGACCTGCTGGTGCCCAGAACCCTGGGGACACGAGGGCAGCACAGCAGGCTCCACACAGGCTGTGGTTTCTCCGGGTGACACCGGCCTCACCGTCACCCAGAAACAAGCAGAGCAGAGCCTACAGCAGCCCGCACCAGGCCTCCCCAAGGCTCGAGGGAACACGGGGAGAAGAAGTAACACAGTATCACAAGTCACTCTTTAGAAAGAAATTACCTAACAGAGTAACACAGCATAATGAAAAAATACTTCCAAGCAGTCAGGCCACGAATTACGTCCACACGGTAATGGCATTTCAGATGGTATTTGTGCCTCTGTCCTCCTCATGGGCCCACAGCAGCTCCCCCAGGACAGGGCAGGGATGCTCACAGGGTCTCCCAGGCCTCATCTTGACAGAACGTTTATGAATGTTGAAGGGAAAACCGACCCGTTCTGTAAGCTCTCAAACCACAATAAAACCAACTTCCGGCCAATCTTGTCACATCATTTATGTATTCGTGCAGCAATGACTCTGCATACCTCCTACATGAAGACACGGCCCAGGAGCTGGGGTCGGGGGTTCTGGGCCAGCAGGAAACTCTGGGAAAATTAGTTGCCGTGGAGCCGACTGGCCCCTGGTGCCCTCGTGACGTCACAGTACCATGTGTTGCATGGCATTTCCGAGCCTCCTTCCGAGGGGACTCCAGGTGGACTCGAACAAACAAACTTTAGTGAGCTGCCACGTGTGCTGACCATTCACATCATAACTCCTCTATGCTACGTGCTGTCCTGTGTGTGAGCAGACAGAAGGCCAACACGCACAACGACTCCAGACTGAGCTCGGAGCTGTGGGGCTCACAGAACCAGGTCATGGGACAGAGCAGGCCCATGGTGGAAGACAGCTACTCACATGGCCGCTCGGAGGAGGGGACAGCTGGTCGAACAGCTCAGGGACAGTGAAGAAACCAGCCACACACAGACAGAGCAACATAACCTAGAGAAAGGCAACAAAAAGTCCCAACAGGGAGCCAGCCCGCTTGGCCCCGTCAAGGTTGAGACAGAAGCAGGCCATCTGGCTGGAAAGAGCTGACGGAGGAGACAGGGAACTGAGGTCAGAGAAGTAGCCCATTGAGACCACGCAGGGCCCCATTCCATTCCTGTGAACAAAACAGCCTGAACAATTTTAGCAACCATCTTCTGACTCTGTCTTTCAACTTGAATCATACCTCAGGACAGCTCCGAAATTGAGGTTATAGCCCTTCTTAAAGTCTGAACTCACTAAAACCATCCCATCAAGAAGATTCCAGTCCTGGAGACCTTCCTTTCGCCAGCTTTCCAAGGCGAGGATCTACTAGAAGCAGTGGCCTCAGCCATCTCCCCAGGAATGAGCCGCCATGGACCTGATCTGCCCACTGGTTGGCCAGCCAGTGGACACGGAATATGTTACGCCCCTTCTCAAAGTCACCTAACACTCACTGGGTTTCCAAGGCTGGGACCCGCCTGGGAGATGACTCATCTTTCTCTGAAGAGCTGCTGATAGATTCAAACCCCCGGAGCGATGTGATCATCAGCTCAGCGGTGCAACTCCCTACAGACTATGCCACCAGGGCCCCTTCTCAAAGGTACAGAAGGTCAGTTTCAAAGTTACAAAGCAACAATTCACAGAGAGAGCATGAAAGTGATAGTGACTCATTCTTTTCATTTCCGAGAAACGGCTTTTCAGGGACACCAGAAACCTTTCTGGTTAATCGGGAAATTAAAGCAGAACCCAAAGCAGGTCAGCAGTGCACCTACGTATAGATGACACCGTAAGTGTGCATTTTGGGGTCTTCCTCCTCAACCGAAAACCTGAACCAGTGCTCCTGTGGGCCTTGACGTCTCGCCGCCTTCTCCCGATCCCAGTACAACTCGATGCTGTGATGAGTCACTTTGCCCACGACAGGAGGATGAGGTTTTGAGGATGGCATGATTTCTGCAAAAGAACAAGACCGGGCTTCAGGGCACCACTCCCAGGAGAAGGAGGGACATCTGATGAGGGACAGCGACTCAGCGGCCAAGCTGTGTTTTCCGTACATGAAGTGTACTGTTGCTATCATGTGCCGTCAAATTATAACCCGCTCACAGCTGACCCTCCAGTAGGTTCTCAGAAGCTAAACAGCACGTAGGAGGAGAATGCTTGTCTTCCTCCTAGGAGCGGCTAGTGGATTCGAACCGCCTGCCTTTGGCTTGGCAGCACAGCTCCCTACCCACTAGGCCACCAGAGCAACTTGAGGTATGAAGCTGTATACTGTGGGGTCAGAACAGACTCAGAGCTGACCCTCCAGTGGTGTTTCAGAGACAATCGCACAGGAGGAAACTGCCCATCCTTCTCCCTCAGAGCAGCTGGTGGCCTTGAACCCCGTGCCTTCAGGATTGCAGTGCAGCTTCTTGCCACTAGGCCACCAGATCTCCTCGAGGTCTACTATCTGTACCTAACTGAAGAGCTGAACAATGCAGAATTCTGCTGGTAAGGGAACTGCCAACATCCTTCCACCAGGAGACATGATCAGCATCGTGCACCACTCCCCAGCCTTCTCCAAAAGCTTGGTCAACATGGCACACTAGCTAGGTTGCTCTCTGAGCCCATGACAGTCACTGTGCTGCAATAACCCCCCAGTGAGTTAGCTGGTGAAGAAACAAAGCTAATTGAAAAATGCTATGTCTGGTCCAAATATTTGTGACATGTTACAAAGGGGTGATGCCAGTTCCGTACAAACAGCTCTTACAACTGGACAAGACAAAAAACAAAACAAAACAAAACCAATAAAAAGTGACCAATACATACAAAAATCCCACCAGGCAAAACTAGCCCATGACTGCTGGGTCAGTTTCACTCACAGCAATGCTACAGAACAGAGCAGAGGGAGCCTGGGGGCGAGCGGTGAAGATGCCCGGGCCAGCCCACAGGCGGGCAGTGTGGCCCCACCGGCTGCACCTTGGGAGGAAGACAGGCGATCTCCTCCAGGCTATTTGTTGTTGTAGTTGTTAGGTGCCATTGATCGACGCTAACGCAGCAACCTCATGAACAAATTATCTTAGCCCGCCCTCTCCGGCACCACCCTCGTCACCTGACACACTCACGCCCCAGCTACACGCACAGCGTCACCCCATCTTACTGAGGGGCCCCTCTTACTCGGATGCTCCTCCTGACACACCCGCACCCACTGCCGCAGTCACTGTGTTCATCCGTCTCACCGACAGTCTCACTCTCTCTCACTAACCCTCCACTTCTCCAAGCTTCATGTCTCTTTCCTCCCAACATCAGGCCTAAAATACATGAGAGAAATGTCACTGTCCTTGTCTCCAAGAACATCCCCATTGCACTACCTTCAGGACAGGAGTTTGTTCTTCCGGAAGTCCATGGGATATTCCGTTTTTAGCTTCTGGAAACTCATTGGAGAGTCAGCCACGAGTCAGTTCTGACTCAACCTCACATAACAACAGAACAAAGCGGAACAGCTGTATAGAGTTTCCGAGACTAAATCTTTACAGAGACAAACTGCCATACATTTCTCCGATGGAGTGGCTGGTGGATTCAAACCACCATCCTTTCAGTTGATAGAACAGTGCTCAACGTACAGTGTTACCAAGGCACTTGGGCAAAAGATGAGCAAAGCACAAACAGCAAATACAACAGCCGCAAAGTGCTCTCGAGGTCAATCATCTGACCTGACCCCACCTGCCTCTAGTCTGATGCCAGGGCAGGGAAGAAGCTTGCATACATCTGTGGTGGGAAACGTGAACCCAGTCTTTCCAGGAAGCGATACGGCAGCATCTATTAAAATTAGCTTCAAATGACATCTACAAATGGAGTCAGAAGAAGAGAAATAATGAGAATGTTTATGCAGTGTGAACGCAATCAGAGTCACTGAACGACTTGTGCAGAAATGGCTGAATGCGAGCCTGAATGGTGGCAGAAACCTCACCAAAAAGCACAATAAGATTTTTTTTAAAAAAATTAAAAATGCATACATGCTTCTTTTTAGTCACTCTGCTCTGGAATCTCGCCCATAAAAATCATGAAATCAGCACACCATACACTCTGAGGAAGGGACAATGGAGAAAGACAGAAGACACATACACAGAAAGAGAAAGAAGGTGAGGGAGGGAGAGAGGAGGAGGGAGGCAGAGGGAGAGACTAGGACATTAACTGCTGCTTCCATCAGTAAGGAAATGGCCAACTAAGTCATGACATGCCCACGCAGACAGTATTAGACAGCTTTTACTAAAAGTGAATTCAATCTACACTAGGTGTTTTGTATTCCAATAAGGTATTACTGAATTTTAAAAAAAAAAATCAATACCCAGAAAAAAATCTTTAATATCCAATTTTTTTTTTAAAAAAAGGGCCTGCATATGTCGGCAGACAATAGATGTAGTGAGTACCAGAATCAGGCAGTCTGGCAAGCTGCTGTTCTGCTCAACAGTCGTGTTGTCTTTCCTGGTAGGTTTTAGGGAGGTCTGGTAGCCAAGTGGGTAGTAAGGAGCCACACTGCCATCTCAAAGCCAGGCAGTTCAAATCCACCAGCTGCTTCATGGAAAGAGAGAGGAATAATCTCCTTTGGTACAATTTTATACCCTATGAAAACCGGCTGGAGGGCCAGCTACAAGTCATTTCCAACTTAACTGCATTGAGTTGAAGAGCGAGATTTTAAGTTTCTTAAAGACTAGACCCCGTATCAGTGCTTGTCATACTTCAAAACATCACTAAGTTACCACTTCGGTTATTCAGGAAGAAAGGGTCTTGTGCTTCCCTCCCACCCCTCAAAGCAGACAGACAGGCCTGAGTCTTGCCACAGGCACTACCAGTCTAGAATGTAGGAGAAAAGAGTACCCACACCCACCCCAATTTCCTAACAGTGGGGTCAGAAAGCCTCAAAGCTAATTGCCTCATTTTTGTTTTCTTATTTACAGAAAATATGGCATGACAGAATTACACAAATCTGGATTTGAATTCAAGCACTAAACAGAACAAAGAATGTGTCCAAGTGTTTTTGACATCACTAAACCACACGTATAATGCACCTAAATAAGCCGTGTGTGTTGTGTGGGGAGCACCTGGGGGCGTCCTGCACATACAGCTGTGCCGCTCACGGAAAGGGGACGCTTGTCAGGTGATTTATATTCACCAGGAGAAAGATGGGCAATCTCGGCCAGGCAAGCCATCCCCTGACAGCCCCTGGAGGCTCAGCGAGGAGTGAGTTCTGACCTGGTGGCCAGGAGTGACTCAGTCTTCCTGGGCCTTGCACTACGTGTTACCCAGCCATTTCCAGGTGGCACATAACAACAACAACAAAGACGAGACCAGGTTTTGTTTTTATTTTCATTTTTTTTGGACAACAACATGAGGTTGCAATGACTTGGAATCAAATCAATAGCAAAATGTTGGTTGTGCTTTAAAATGCGATCCCTGGGTAGTACATAAAGTGCTCAGCTGTGGATGGGAAGGCTGGAGGTTTGAGTCCACCCAAATGCACCTTGGAAGAAAGGTCAGGTGACCTCCTTCTGAAAAGCCAGCCACTGCCACCCCTGGGGAGCACATGGAGGCTATGAGCCTGAGGCTCGGCAAGGTACCAGGGACGTTTGGATCCTTGAGAACGCATCACCCAGTAAAAGCTTTATGGCGTCTCCGCATCATCTAGAAAGATGCATAAGTTAGGACGCTGTCTCTGGCGGACTCCTCAGCATTCACCTCCATAACATGAACACATTCCCAATGCAACCACTGCCTTCTTTTCTGATAAAACTGCCAACTTCCATTGCTTCTGCTAATTCCTAGAAAATTCCAGAAATCAAGGAACAACTGGAGTAAACATTACTACTATGGCAGCTGTTTTCAAAATTAAATGAACGTAGGCGAAGGCACTCAGTAACTGAGTAAGAGAACCAATGAGAAGCAGAAAACCCTGTATCCACGTGGAGCCGTCTGCCTCAGTGGGCTCCCTCATCTCCAAGCAGAGATGGTGCCTTCTGAGTTGGTCACTAGCCAGAGTGGAAACATCACTGTGACTGTACACAGAATGTGGAGACCAGAACTCAGGGAGTGCTGGGGTCACAGGCCCAGCTATGGCACGAACCAGCAATTACTTATCATTTGCTTCACACAGACACTTTACATATATGCAGGCACGTCTTGTTTTATTGTGCTTCGGTTTATTGCACTTGTAAATACTACACTATTTTGTTTTGTTTTCAAATTGAGGTGTGTAAAACCTCAAGGTGTATAGCAATCAATCCCAAGTAGAACAAGTCTCTCATTGTCATTTTTCAAACACCATGTGCTCCCTCTGTGTTCCTGGTTAATATCTCAGTAACTTTATAAAATTTCAAAATTTTTCATAATCCTAGTGCACGCTTTTTCTCAGTGGCATCCACTTCCTAAACATCATGCCTCTGGAAACTCTGGGAACTTTGATAAATGTCGATAGCTTCAGAGGAGCTTCAGGCTTTTTGTTCCTATTGTCGCTATGAGTCGTGCTCAACTTGAAGGCAATCAACAGCAACATCAATTGCACACTTTGTCTCACATACTTCAGGTATGTTGTTAAAAGGAACCAGTCCTTGGAAAGAGGCATCATGTTTGGAAAAGTGGAGGGTCAGCGAAAGAGAGGACAATCCCCAATATGATGGGCAGTGGCCATAAGAATGAGTTCAAATGTATCAGAGGTCGTGAGGCCGGCACAGGATAGAACAGGGTTCAGGTCTGTTATTCACAGGCTCCCTGGACGTTGGTTTGACACCTAACAACAACATTGCACACTTCATAGACTATCAAATCCACTGCCATCAAGTCAATTCCTATTCACAGCAGGATTCTGGGCTGTACATTTTTACAAGATGACCCATCTTCCTTGTAACAAGCAACAGGTAGATCTGAACCACCAATGTTTTAAATAGTTATCCACTATGCCACCAGCACATCTATTAA